TACATGCACTAATTATGTTCCATTCAACCATTTCTGTACAGGGTACCAAGGTTCTTGCTCTCGCAAATAGTGGTGACATTGAACAAAGTGATAAGATACTCCGCCTCAAAAACACGTACTACATAAGCAATGCTGCTGCCATGCCTAACCAAGTATAGTGGTGATCCCCCATCCGCAAACTATAATTACATTTAGATGTAGAGTAAAAAGACTTGGATTGAGGCAGCCCCAAAATCAGAAAAAATTCAGGCAACAAATGAGACAGACACTATCCTCACACAATTCTTTGACTTCTATGACTTATGCGGTTCTAAAACCCCAATCTGTATGTGAATAATATTAGTCTTCATTAACATAATACGGAAAATCACAATGATGTGACATCTAAACTTTTTTTTTTAATTTTTGCTACATTTAGATTTCATGGCCATTGTGATTCAGAGAATGCCCAAAGAGTATGTCTCCGTTCCTGGACATGCCAAAACCGCACATGATTTCATGCTTGTGAATGAAGAGTAAGTATGACATAGTTATTCTAATTACTTAACATTGTGTATATCAAACATTTTTACTTTCATCTTAAAAAGAATGAAACCAGTTGTGTTGACTCTTTGGGAAGATTTCACAATGAATCAAGGCCGGGATATAACATCCCTTTTAGAGAGTGGGCGACACCCAATAATTTTGGTTAGAAGGGTGGCCGTTACTCCCTTCAATGGTAATGTTTATTTATCCAAAACGTCAAGAAACGTAGTAGAAAATTTATTTTTTAGTAGATGAGTTCCACCACGTTAAAATTTAAACACAACACAATAACAAAAAATATTACTGTACATATATACTTGGATGGAGAGTCAATTTGACAATATTGACCTTGGTAAGAGATTTTCCTTTTTATTAACCTCTTTCATGTCCTATTTGGTGACAGGGTTCATGCCGAGTCTTGTTTATTGGCTGGAACTTGGCGGTGCTTTCAACAAAATAGAAATTTCAATGCCTCCACCGATCAACAAAAAGGAAATTTCACCATGTACCCGTATTGGTTTTCCTCTTTTTGTCAGATATCTCCCAAAAACAATTGGCTTAATATGAACTGCTGCACTCTAATCAAAACCACACTATTACAAATAGGTGCTTAAGGCCATGTGACATTCAAATTCCACTAAACCGGGCTATATTTACCATGTCAAATGCCACAGACAATGGTTGGTCTTCATTCTTGAAGCCTGTTAATGTCATATTCATTGCTTTTGTACTTATTCACAATTTTTAAACATGGGAATAGCTGAATGCACCCCTGCAATTGGTGTTTGGGTTAGGTTCTGGGCAGGGATTTTGTTTCTTACTTTGGGGATTGGACCTGATTTTGGGTTTGGTTTTGGGTTAGGTTCTAGGTTGACTTTTAACTTTAGTGTTTGACAATCAAATTTGCGTTAGGTTTGCGGGTGCAACCCGTTGGATTTTAATTTTTAGGTCAGACTCTAGGTCGTGTTTTGAGTTAAGGCAATTGCGTTTTACTGTCTTGTTTTTTGTTGTGGTTCTAAATACTATCAAAATGTTGTGGTTCTAAATACTATCAACCTCAGATTTCCAGATTCTAGGCGTTGCGTATCAGATGTGCAGATTTCCTGTATGATTGAATCGTCTTCTCTGATTCCTCGTCTTGTATTTATGGATCCTTCCCTTAATAATCCCCTGCCAATTATTTCAGCATGTAAGTTGGGCTATTTATATTTGATTTTGGGAGATGGGATGAGACACCATCTCCAAGATTCCCCCTAGGTATATTCTTATGAGTTCTTTGGCTTGTTCTTCTCTTTGTTGTTTGTTTCTATGGGCTGAACCTGCAACAGTTTGGAAAATTATTCTTTAGGTAATTTAAATTCCATGAATTCAAGAGTGCTCAAATTCAGATGTGTATTCTTCGCACATTACTTCCTTTGAACATTCTGCTTAATAACTTGCAAGGTTTTGACTATAAAGAATACATTTTTTAGCAGTTTTTAAATTATGACCTGTTTTTTACGTCTTTGTCATCCTGTTTGGAACTGAAAAATGAGAGGTGTGCCATGTGATTTTTTAAATTTCAAGGCTATAAAGTAAGGAGTGAGTGGGAGTGAGTGTTGGACTCTGGTAAAGGTTAGGAGTGAGTGTTGGACTCTTGAAATCCATTATGCAAATGGGTTAGAATGGTTGGGTATACACAATTCTTTTCCCACATTTCCTGAACCTAAAACAAGATAACTTACAATTTAACATCAATTTTTCAAAGTTGGGAGATTTAAAGTATTCTATGTTTCTTATGGATTTGAATTGTTTTGTTTTTTTAGACTTGGGTATAATGACCATATCACATTTAAAAATATTGAACCAGCATGTTTAGAGGTGTGAAAAAAATACAGTAGCAATTTCAAGTCTAAAGGGTATGAACACAGAGTCTTTGAACTCCCTTTATGGGTTAAAAATCTAAAATCATAAATCATTTTTTGTTCTGAACTATGTTTAACTTTCTCAATTTCCAGTTTATTTTATCATATTAGGTTGTGGTGTCATACCTAGGTTCACAATATGTGTCTTCCTTCAACGATCTTTTAGTTTTAATTTTTGTGACCCAACACGAAAACAAACCCAAAGTCTAAACCCAAAACTCAAAACCCAACCAACGAGCCCCAAAAACCAGCACCAAAACCCAGCCTAAATTATTAATTTTAGTGACCCGACAACCCAGATACAAAACCCCATCGCAAAGATAGACCCAAACTCTTAATCCTAAAGTCAAATGACAACAAAAAGGAATGGACATGGAAGGTGGAATGATCAGTGGAATAAATGACAACAAAAAGGAATGGACATGTAAGGTTAGAGTTGTGGAGAAACGGAACATCAAAGACTCAAGGACGAGCCCTAACAAGTACAGACCTTTTATATTGCAGGATGAGGAG